TGAGAAAAAGATAGGACCTTTGCCCTGTTTATTCACCCTTTCTTGATTTTTGCTGGGACCCGGTTCGCATTTTTCGTTGTAGCTCGAAATTTCTGTACTGATTTTGTCCGGCGTACCTTCCAATTTCATCGCTGTCAAAAACTGAGAAAGGTTCGTATTTTTTTTTTCTCCGCAAATTTCCGGATAAAAATGGGGATTGAGCAAAACAGGAGTGGTGGGAAGAATAAGGTTAGCAGCGAATCGAGGAAAAACAAGCGGAAACAGAGAAAATCGTCGCAGGTTCAAAAGCTGTACGAAACTTGCAAGGAGGTGTTTGATGATTGTGGGCCTGGAATCGTGCCGGCGCCGGAGAAAGTAGAAAAGCTTGCATCTGTTTTGGGTACTGATTGATTTTAATTTATTGTTTTTAATTTCAAGCCCGTTTTTGGTTTGCCAGTTCGTGTTTACTTGAATGTGTGATGAATTACTTGGTTCAGTTAAAAATTGAATCTTGATGGTGGCATTACTGTGTTTGTGCTTTCTAGCTTTATTTTTTGGTCAATGTGGGATTGATAACTTGTTGTTTAGCTGTTTTCCAAAAGGTTTTCTTTTGAATTCTTTTAGTTATGGCTAGTGTTAGGCCCGAGCTATGAATGTAGCACAAGGTACAACCCCTTCAAGCTGTGCTTTTTGAGGGTGGGCTTTAAGTATCACTGATTTTAGCTGTCAACCTTTTTTGGTGCTTGAGTTTCTATGCTATTCGAGTTATAATGCTGTTTAGTTCATGCGTCTATTCTAACCGAGCAATTCAATTTACCGTATACAATGCGTAGTTTAGTTTGAGCGATTTCTTGATATTTCTTCATTAAACTATGCAATTCTATAAATTATTGGGAACTAGTAATCAACCTGTGCATTTGCACAAAATAATACTTAGAAAAGGTAACAATATAAAAAGAAAAAACAAAAATAAATCATAATTTAATTCATGAAAAAAAATATGAATTAAAAAAATGATTCTAAATATTATTTAACACTTGCATTATTAAACATTTGGGTCGAAATTATATATTGAACAAAATATTGCATTATAAACAGTTACTAAATTGGGTTGAATATCATCTTAAAAAAAGATGTGGTGAGTTGGGCTTAATTTTTTATTAAAAAACTTGTAAGGATGACTTGGATCGATTTTCCCAGGCTATTTGTTTGTTTAATGAGCTCGATTTGGTAAAGCTCAAAAAAATTAATTTTTCAAATTGAAACTCGATATATATTTTTTTAACAAAAAGAAAAAAAAAAGAATAAGGCAACCGGTAAGACCAATTACCAAAAAAAGCGTTACAAAACCCTCGACTTAAATCATTCGAACACTCTATAAATTCTTGGTAATATAAAAGTTCCTTCTTTTGGTATTCCATTTATGATAACATTTCACTTCTTTTTTTCTTTTCGAAATGTAATCCTAATATTGAAACTAGAACTCTAGAAGAATTCCGTGTTTACGCAAAGTAGACTCTTTAGCTGAAAACTATGGTCATGATATTAACACATCATCCATAATGTTACTCTATTTGCTTAATGCTTTTGATTTCAAGATGATATTTCCATGTTTTGAATTTCAAAATTTTCAAATCCATGCAGATGAGATGACCCAAGCCGATTTGGGCATACGTCCCGATATGCCCTTTTTCAGCAGCAAACGAGCCCCGATCATAACATACTTGCAACTCCATGAATGTGAACAATTCTCCGTACGTAAACTAAAGAATCTCGTCAATCCAAAAGAACCCTTGTTTTTTTATTGTTTGTGATTTATTTTGGTCTTGAAATAATTTTCACAGATTGGAATCTTTTGCTTGCCCCCAAAAAGTGTCATTCCACTCCATAACCATCCAGGGATGACTGTTTTCAGCAAGCTTCTATTTGGGACAATGCACATCAAATCGTGTGACTGGTCGAGCGAGTTTGATGAAACTAATGACAGCTCAGCAACAGCAATCGCTACACTTCCGAAAAGTATGTTGTTTTTTGAATCTAAAGGTTTGTTATTACTTATTTTACTTGGATTAATCTTAGTATCTAAAGTTTTGTTATTTTACTTTAGTTATTCGGCTGCTTGCTTTAGTTAGTTTTGTCGAATCAACTAATATTTTTATGAACATAATGACTCGAAACTGGCTTGCTTTGACCAAGATTTAACAGATATATAGTTATAAATTACGTAAATATATATATATATATATAGGGAGTGGTTCAAATAAAAATCATTTCTGGTGTGAGAACCGTGAGAACCATATTTGATGCTATTTTTAATTGTGTATGATGCTATTTTTAATCTTACATGGTGCTATCATTTTTACAAATGCTAACATAAATTCTGTTGCTATTTTTAATAAAATACATCTTGATTAAAAATAGCACTAAATACAATCAATCATAGCACTAGATACAATTAAAAATAGCGGTTCTCACGGTTCTCACGCTAGGATTTGGTTCTCATTTGAACCACATCCTATATATATATATATATATATATATAAAGATTATTCATCTATCTAGCTAATTTAATATATTTCCTCGAAGGCCATCGGAATGAACTACGAGTGGCTAAGATAAAAGTGGACTCGGATTTCACAGCTCCTTGCAAGACTTCTATCCTATACCCAGCTGAAGGTGGCAATATGCACCGATTCACTGCCAGGTCAGCATGTGCAGTGCTCGACGTGATTGGCCCTCCGTATTGCGATCCTGAAGGCCGCCATTGCCAGTATTATTCTGAGTTCCCGTTCGCCAGTTTCTCAGGTATCCAAACAAACTGCTTAATTTTGAAAAAAATTGGTATGGTTAGTTGTTAGTGCCATTTTAAGTTTATATTAAAGTAATATTTAAAATAAAATAATTAAAATTTAATTTGATGTAAATGTAGGAGATACATGATGTGTAGTTAAAATTATATGAGTGGATAAATAGTGAGTTAAAATTGATGTGACATGTAAGAATGATTGATTAATATTATTTGATTATATTGGTAATGTTCAGGATAGTGGAGAGTGGAGAGTTGAGTTAAAGTTGAGTCAGATTTTAATGAATTGAAAAAATTTATAAACAAAACACCCCCTAAAACTCTTGTTCAAGTCTTTTTACCGTGGAAAATACCTTTTTCAATTTTACGTTTTTGAGTAACAGGAGATAATGAGAAGAAGAAAGAGGGTTACACGTTGCTTAAGGAGAGGGAAAAACCGGAGGATCATATAGTCGTTGGAGCACAATACAATGGACCAAAGATAGCGAAAAAGTGAGGCAAGACTGCATTTTTATTTTTATTTTCCCTTTTTGTGTCTTTCTTTTTGTAGTTCTTTCCATTAAAATAGGGTGATGTGTACATAAGTTTCAAACAGAGAAGAAAGGGAAAGAAACGGAAAGAACAAACAACGCGTTACAGTTCATTTTTTCCATATGCACACGAGAGTACTTTCAAGTACACTTTTCAATGAAATCGTAAATGAGAAGATCGTCTAATTTGATTTTTTTCTAGTTTTTTTTTTTATTTATTGTGAATAAATCGAAAATAGATATAAGGATTATGATTTTTGAGGCCTGAACCCGAAATTATATCTTATATAAATAGCTTATATCTATCTAACTCGCAATTTTGGCTCGACATTTTGGAATGGGATATTCGAGATTCTAATGTTGTGTTCGAAGATTGGAATTCAGTTGGGTTTTCATTACGATCCACCGTATAATTTACTATCGAATTATGGCTTAACTTTGTGATCATGGGATGATTTTCCAGATTTAAACAATATTTTTCTTAATATCCTAAAGTAGCTCTTAAAAGTCTTAGGTCTGAAAATGGCACATTATGTTCGAGCACCAACTTTTGACTTAAAGCTTTTGTTTTAATTTCGTCAAAAGTGAGGTAACATGATAACAAAGCTTTAGTATAAATTAATATGAGATTGGAAAACTATGATCTCTGTCTACGTCATGGCCGTGTCTTGTTAATTAGTACTTAGTTATTTGTAAAACATAAATTAAATTAATTATTCATTTAATTGCGAATTATCACATCTTAAAAGCTATGAGTAAGTCTTAAAATTATTGATTAATCACATAATTAACAATTGGCCTCTAAAGTTTTCACGTAGTGAAAGCTGAAAATAATTGCAATTTTATTTTATTATGCATACGTACGTAGTTGCTTAATGGGACAAAGTACCTTCATTAGATACTTAACTAAGTTATGCTTAATAATAAAATAATTATCTATTAAATATAGATATAATATATTTGCAAGTGTTTCACGTTACCCTTATTCCATCTTTTTCTTTTTTCAAAAATATTTTTTCCTACTTGAAATTTTTTTATTTCTCTGTATAACAAAGTACGGTCTTTGTAGTTGTTAACCGAACAGAGTAAATAATTCAGGAGACTTTTAATTTGAAGTAGTGCATTGACTTACAACTAAGATTTTTCCCCTTTTACCAACAAGTGGAAAAAATAATAAATTAGTATAATATTGCAATTAACTGGATTATCATATATTAAGACTGTTGTTGGACAAGTCTAATCGTTAGTTGGATAACAAATTTCAACATATTTGCATATTTTCGAACTAAAATGTCATACCCAATAAAAACAACATAAACAAAATCATGACATTTCATAGCATAATCAACAAATATACATGTTTTCGAACTAAAATTTTATATTCTAAAAAAGAATACAAACAACGTTATGACATTTCATAGCATATATATATATTTTTATAAAAGTAGTATGACATGTCGTCTGTCATACTATTTTAATCAAAATACATACTTATTTTATAAAATATCATAATTTTGTTTATACTATTTTTTAGAGTATCACATTTTAGTAAAAAAAAAACATGATTATCTAACTATTATTATTCAAGAATTTGTAGTGGATTATAATATATATTAAGTTCGAAATAAAGATAGTAATTAATCCAATCATGTCATATTAAGCGTAGACTGCCGCATAATACGTTCCCAGCTACAAAGTCCACAATATCCCATCTGTCACCAATGCTTTTCAAGTATTACTCTGATCCAAACTCAATTAATATATTGCAATAAAAATATAACATATCATCTTAATTTCAATTTTTTTCAACCCAATTGTCATAAAAATTTAACCAAA